TATCAGTGAAGTATTAATGAAGTATCAATGAAGTATCAGTGAAGTATTAGTGAAGTATCAGTGAAGTACGTGAAGTATGAAGTCTCGCTTTTTCCCCCTTGTGAAATGAGCAATACGATAATGAACAGCTGAATGTTTCCTTATATGGCGATAGCTGATCACATTCATTATCTCTCACTTGTCAGCTGAGTGAATACAGCTGAACTTGACTTAAATTCATTATGATTTTCTCTAGGGACGGCTATGATTTTGAAATAGCAGATGTCATATACACTCCTATTTTGATATTTTTCGGGCTCGTGCAGTCAGCCGCCTTATCTACTCGAGCTTTGCTCGAGTGGAGGTCTAGTCTCGAATTGGAATCAATTTACAAAATCTGTTTGTTCTTGAATTCCAAAAAAAAAAGCGATGTCTTATATTTCATATTAAAAAAAAAATCAGCTAGATGAATGTTACAAATACTACAAGTTCCACTGTATAAATGAATCTTCAGAAAACAATATATTTTTATTATACTTTCATTTAAAGAATATATTGAATATGTGCTTTTAAGAATTTTGATGAACAACAGATATAGTCTAGTAAATTTATTTTTCATTACATGAATAATTATCTGACTTTCATGATAAATGAAAACTTGTTTCTCGAGTAGATAAGAATTTTGCAAACGTGTTTAAACAGCGTAATACAGGACACTTAATAGGGCAACTTTCACATTTGAAAAACGTGAAATTTTTTTTCCCGCAATATTTTAATGTGTTTTTCAAATAAAAATGACCTTTTTATGCATCGTGTCTAGCAAAAATATTGTGAGAAAACTTTTTCAAATGCTTAAGTTACGTTTTTGAGTATTTTCAAGCATTTTTTATGATAGAAATATCTAGTTTTTATGTTTTCTGGAGAACACCAATCGTGATTAGGTTGTTTAAATGCGTTTTTGGAAATTTATAAGATATTCGGCATTTAACGAGAAATCGTCATTATTTGCTGATGATTAAATAATGATAGTTCTTTTAAGTTTTGGTAACAATTGAAACTTGTTTTTTTGTTATTATTACGTTATCATTCGAAGTTACCCATGGGATACCTACTGAGAAACTACGGCCAGTATTTTATGAAAGTGTAATATAATGGTTTATTGTATCAAAATATGTGAATATTTTTGAAGTCTATTCATATTGACAGAATTAAGTCGTTTTCAATATAGTATAAATATGCTGGTGCGTTTGAATCACGTATATTAACCACAAATCCCAAATCTTTTAATAAATAATTCGAATTAGGCTAGAAAACGCTCTCTGCAATTGTTTATAGGTGAAAACGAGATTCGTCGGCGCTTTAGGCGGTAGTAAGAACAAACATGCGATATGAGTAGCTAAATTTTGAGCTTGTTTCAATGCGTTATCAAAAATTGGAAAAGTGAGATGAATAGCTGTATTGATTTTATTATAATTTCTATTATATATAGCATTTACAATTCATATTTTTCGTTGAAGAAAAATATTATGGTATCATTGTTTTTGCAATCAGAGATTATTTATCTACATCGCCTGTGCATCATAAGAATTTGTTTTGTTTTTACGTATTGTCTCTCTGAGAGGTGCTTTATGTGTAATTAGTTCATGACGTTAAGAAAACATACGATAATGATAAGTGAATTTCATTCACAATTGACATGAGAATAGTCATATTCGAACAATATTTCGAGAGAATTTTTGAAATTGTAATTCAATAATTCTCCCAGAAGAGAAATAGTTATGTTCTTTGTATTTACTTAAATTTTATTTCAATCTAAATCATGACAGACTGACTAAATAATACTTTCAATTTTAAACGCGATATCAATGATTTCAACTGACAGCTATTGATTCGGATAATCAAAAATCTGAAGCTTTGAAAAAAACCTTAAATCAATACGTACATGTACAATCAACTTATTCACACTGTATTGGAACATCTAATCTTATGGATTTAGTGTGAATGAGTGAAGTAAAGAATCTTACTATGACCGTAGATATTTTATGGAGAATGAGAAAATAGATGAGTAGACATATTTTTCGTTGTTTTATGATATGAATAATTTTTATTTATCTTTTCAATAAAATGAGTATAGTATTTGTCATTTTTGTTTGATTTCTTACGGATACATGCATGTATGCCTACTGTGTTTTTATAAATAAGTAGTATGAATCATTTTTATAACTGATACTTACTCAACAAATTTGCATAATTGTTCGTCAAAATAAAAAGAAGCGATGTGAGTAATCATTCAAATAAGTAAAGTGACTCATGGTTACAATTGCGTGAATTTATAAATAACTAATTTTTAGTATCACGGTAAGAAACATTCGGAAAAATCTTGAAAACCAACATCAAAATCTTTATTTATTTAAAGCTATTTTCAAATAAAAAATTTTAGTAAGTTTAAACTTTACATTTATATACTGAAACACGAATACAAGACTTTATGAACTGATATGTATCTATCACATTCTTACCAAATCCTGAGCATACATATATAACACGGCTCTCTACTATTGTTAAAAAATCAAGACATACTTATTTTCATTTGTGAAATGATTCATTCCATTACAATACACATTCGTTATATCTACAGTAGATTTTAACGATCTATCATGTATATGATGACAGTTGTAAGGAAAAAAAATATCACTATTGATATCTTGAATATAATTCTTTATCTGTGGAAAAAGAAACAACTATGTTATTTAGAACAGTGAAAAACATATTCCAATCATGATTCTAAAATGTTCTAGAGCCTTATAAAATGTCTTTCAGCCTTTTTAATTTTAGTTGCTAAAGACAGATAGAAAAATAACAAGTTGTAATAAAATGCATATGAGTATTTATAGTTTAAAAATTTTTCAAATAGTTTCTCATAAAATTATAATTATAAACGATTGCTTGCTTGGTTAAAAAAGCCATATGTGCAAAAATATATCAATAATAATAATCAATAACAGTTGGTTCACCAAGTGTTTTTCCTTGATGAACAGCAAGATTAACAAAAAGAATATCATTCGATTGATTCTGAAATTCATCACCTTCTAATAATCGATTATCTTCACTTTTATATAAACTAGCACCTCGACATTCGTGCATATGTCCAAAAAGATGAATACGTGGTCGAATTCTTGTAACAATTTCATCTAATAAATCTGGACAACCTAATGGTTCTTTTGTTGATACATTATAATCTCGAATACTATAAGGTGGGCCATGCGTGAGTAAAATATCAATATCTTGAGGAATTTTTGACCATTTATCTTCACGTATATGTTTTGGATTATAACCAAATGCTTCGGCTCGATAAAAACAACCACGTTTTGGTCTCCATGGACTACCATAAATGCGTACACCTTCAATATCAATTAATTGATCTTGAAGATAAATCATATTATTGAGTAATTTTTGACTTCGATCTGGTTGTTTTGGATTAAGACAAACACAATGATTACCACTAACAAAAAGTTTATATTTATGAGGGAGTTGACCAACGAATTGATTGAATCTGACTATATCACGAGAACTTGTACGATGATTAACAGCATCACCACAATGAATAAATACATCACCATTTGGAATATGAACATCTGCAATCTCATTATGAGTATCCGACATACAAACAAAACGTAAATGTTTATTTTCTTTTCCAATTAATTGAGAATTTCGATAAACAATAAATGGTTCATTTTCAGTTCCAAAGCCTTGATTTTGAACGGAATTTAAAGGAATTAATTCGTCTTTATTTTCATTATATGGAATATATGTAAGATGATGAACAACAGCACTTGGACGATTTTTCACACTGGGTACACTACACCTGTTAATAATAAATTTATTTCCATGACAGAAAAAAAAATATGAATAAAAACTTACCAACAACACCAACTATATGACGATGGTTTGAACATTTCAAATGCAATAAATGTTAGTACTAATCTGTCTCTGATATATAGAAATATAGTCCATATGAATGATTCAACAATTTGAAATTTAATGAATTATTTTGACATCACATGGTTGAGGTAAGCATAATAGATGCCACGTAGTAGGAAATAACCTATAGACTGACGTAGTTAAGTTTTTTTTTCTTTTCTCCGAAGAATGACTCATAACCTTCGTCATTTTTTATTTTCCGTCTGATATACATGGCGGGCCAAAGGTAACTTAACACAGAGTTTTTTCAATTTTTTCTTTGTACATCATTAGTTAGATCTCATATTTATATCACATATACTAGGTGATATAACTCATAGATGCAGTATATGATCAGGATCTAAGTGTAGTAATTTGTTCAAAAGCGTACAAATACATGTCGATCAAAAGTATGAAAGCATGTTCAACAGTTATAATTTTGCTGTCATAACATATATTATTTTATCTTCCCTACTAGTACTTGGAGAACAAAAAATGAATCAATGGATGGAAGAGTAAACCACACTTGTGCTATTGTCTGCAGATGCCACCACTAGCATATAGTATATAAGTACTAGGAGGGAAGATAGAATAATATATGTTATGACAGCAAAACTATAACTGTTAAACATGCTTCCTTACTTTTGATCAACATGTATTTGTACGCTTTTGAACAAATTACTACACTTAGATACTGATTATATGCTAAAGGAAAAATTGAAAAAAACTCTATGTTAGGTCACTTTTGGCCCACTCTGTGTATATATGTGTGTGTGTGTGTCAAATATTGTGTATGAATAATGGTTTAACAGCTAATGACAATTTCTTACACAATTGCGAATGCGTAATTACATTTCAATAAAATTTAAATTGTGTTGGTCTAGTGAATTTCAATTAAGACTATTAATTTAAACTAGAATTTTTTTATGCAGAAATTTATTTCATACAAAATATGCAGAAGAAATTTAACAATCACATATAATGACAAGTATGATGACAGAAGACCTAATAAAAATATTTTTCTAATTAAATACTTAAGTAAATATGTTTTCTTAATGAAATATAAATATAAGTCGAAACTTAGATCATCAGCATATTTATCATTAGAAAATTTAATTTTCACATAGTACCTATGAAAGAAATGTAAAACAATTTTGATTTTAAAAATATTTTTTTTTTTGTAAAAAATGTTATTCTTTTAGTTCAAGTTTTACTTATAAGAGGCTACTGATTCTTTTCAATAGTGTAAATATAAATTGCCATGATTTTCAAAATGAAAAGAGAATCAAATATTTTGAAAAAATGTACTCAAAAAACAGTTCTTAAAATTGTCCGATTGAAATATAATTTATGAGATTCGTTTTCTTTTCAAAAAACTTACTCAACGTCATGACCAACCATCGGTTATCTACACATAGACAGGATTCGAACTCAAGAATAATGAAAGTTGAGTCTACTACTGAAAAGAGCATGATTGATAGTGTGTGAATTGAAAGTGTATCTATATGTGAGAAGTCTTGAATGTTTCAAATATACAAAATCTTTCTTAGAGTAATTAACTCGAAAATTTATCCGAAAGATGGTAGTGAAACACATCTTTAAAAAATTATGAATTAATGGGAGAAATATTCTTCAATGACATATTAATCGATAAGATATGAGGTACTCTTTCAATATATGACCTAAGCTCAATGAAAGACACATTCATTTTAGACGTAGTTGTATTTAACTTTCGCATTCGTTTTGTAGAAATGGTGTATTACGGATTTTATACATACTTGAAAATTATGATGTTATTAAACTATTAAACGTTTTATGCTATTATTTCTTTATAGATATATGTATATTTCGATATATTTGGAATTATCATCGAGTTTTGAAGAAAATAGAGTAGTTAACTTATAAAACTCCGTCTTTGTTTTTTTTCTCAAAAATTTCTCTAGTTAAAAAAAAGAAAGTCGAAAAATATTTTTCCTTGCACTCTAATGAAAAATGCATCGTTTGATGCAGAATTTGACGCTGATGTCGCATATATATGACTGTTTTTGATTTGTTTTGCATTTATCTTCGTGCAAACATTGACTTTCCAAAAAAAAAGGATGAACTTCTGTAATGAACAGTGCTTTTAGTTTTTTATTCAATGCTGTTGCACTTGTTAAGAAATAGCGCTATATTATAAAAGCTTGTTCAACCTTAAACAACTCTTATAAAGAACTTTTATTCATATGTCACTTAATTTCGCAGCTAAATGCTAAACGTTTAGCATTGCAAAAAACATTCCATTTTTTTGATTTCGGTAACGGTTGGAGTTTTTTCAATAACTCAGTTCTAACTAAAGGGTGTGTGCATATGAGGATGGATGTAGAGTGAATAAGAAGGAAGCAGCATGACTTCAATACTTCACGGTAAGAATGACGTACAAGTGTAGTACTGTGAGATAGAACTGAAGTATCGTACTCATCGTCTTTCACTAATACCTAATTATATTTCACACTTACTTTAACCGTACATCATTGTACTTCACTTTTACTGCAGTCGTACTTCATTCCTACTTCAAAGAACTATAGTCGTGCTCATATTTGGAACCAGACCAGCCAGTCCCCCAGTTGCTGATCTGATTCGGTTAAACAAACTCGACAATTCGAGCATGGTCACGTTTTTTCCACCTTGCACATCCACACCCTCGATTTGTTGTAGAGTCTCGTCATCGTTCGAAAGTCGAAATGACATGATTTGATCGATCATTTATGAAAGGTGTTCTTCACAGATCATATCGAAATCCTGTTTCGTCACCGATTGAAAGTTTAAACGTCTGCAAAATCACAAGCGACTAACAAGAAGAGTATTGCAGCGATAATTGAGACCTTGAAATGTGCGAAAAACATCACGAGTGGACTATAACTCAAAAACATCGAACAACAATTCGTTGGGCAATCCTTCCAGAGCCATATCCATTTTTCTTCCATATAAGATGACTTATAGCGATGAAAAACCTGCATTTTTTTGTTCTATACACAAAACAGTAGAGGATTACTTTTTATTGAGATCATTCTCTACCTAACAATATGCATTACGAAAGTTGAATTTTATTTTGTTTACATCAATTTGACTTGCATTCTATCTTGAGATGAAAAATGAGTCATGTTGCAGATGATATGATGAAATACATGACGAAGAAAGACATTTTCTTTCGTAAGATATGGATGTGACCAGACACCTAAAAATAAAAACAATGGGATTTTGAATAATGAAATGGACATCAAAATTGAGGTATTTCAAATTCCTGAATTACGGAGTACTTTCAATTATATGTTTTTGATTAAAAACCGAACTCATCACATTTATTTCATTAAAATGTCTCTCGTAATCAATGAATTTGAAGTACATCAATTTTTATGTACGTTTCATCTTCTCAAATGTCATTTTTTTCTGTAGACTTGATTTAAAATTCACGAAAGTTAGCATTTGTTTTTTGATTTAACATATTCATGCAGTATGTGTAGTTGTAGTTGTGATTATCGGAGAAAAAAGATCCTCATTCATTCTGAACTCACTCACACTCTTCCATAAAAAAAAATGAACTGTAATGATTTCTTCTATGTGCTGTTACTTTCTTCTTATGCACGAGCTTCTATTATTGTCTTCAGTTCCTATCAAAGCAATAACGTCTTTTGTTATGCTTTTGTTACAATCTTCAGTAAGAGAATACAATAGTTTAGTCGAACAGAGTCGTTTCTTTCTTATCTTATTGTGAAAGAACGGTTTCACTTTGATATATAGAACTCAAAAAGTAGTATAGCTATTATTTATTATTATCCTTGAATGAATCGCAGTTTTTTCATTATATTGTAAATTTTCGATCATTTTTGGCCATCGTCAAACGACGATCAGAAACTATTAAAAGATGTGCAGAACGGGTTTGTACTGCGGAATTATATCCAATTATCAAATGTTATAGAGTCCAATAGTGTATGTATTGATCCTCTGAAGAATACTAATGAATAATAGCTGCAATATTTTATTAGCTGTATGAACTAGTAAGCCCTTTGACATTTGATAAATGGAAGAGAGTGATTGTAGTTTGAGAAAATTTTTCAATAGGACAAACTAAACTAGCAGTCGAAACTTGAAATTGTCTTAGATTTAGCATCGATGATAAGTGAAATTTTCATCACATAGAGTCAAGAAAAAATAACCAAAGATTAGATTCCATGACGTTTTTTTGCTGTATTTAAAACAATAAACTAAGAAGATAAAAATATGTGCCAACTTGAGTCAGATATTGATGTAGACAAATTTCTAGCCTTATCCGACAGATCCTTGGTAGTTGTTGAGGTTTCAAAAATAATTGACATTGTAAAATCTTCATACTTGTTCTTTCGTTTCTAGTAGAAATATGAATGATTTTATGATACAACGACAATTGCAATTTATCCCAGTATTTGATGAAACAATTAGCCGTATAATCCTTATAGCAACTGGTCAAAATATAAAAGAAAAACAACGAATAATTGAAGGCAATGATAGTGAAGTGTATGATATAAAACTAAACAATGACGAACATATTATTTTAAAAGTACATCGCTTTGGTGATGTTTCCTATGATCAAGAAGCATGGGCAATAAATGAATGTCGTAAACATGGTGTACCTGTACCACAGGTATTACATGTAGGAAAAGAATTGATCAACAATGAAATGCGAGACATTATGATTTTAGAAAAGGTGAAAGGAAGATCATTCAGAAAAGTGATTGACGAACAAAATATAAGTAAAAATGATGTTGCACAAGTTTTGGAACAAGCTGGTACCATATTAAAAAGAATACATTCAGTCAAAGTTAATGGTTATTGGCGTTTAAATCATGATAATCAATGGGATTTCGATTCATGGACTGATTACATGAAGTCAACAATCAGGGACAGAATTGAAGATAAACAATGTCTATTTGATGTTGGTCTTAATGACGAAGATTTCAATTTCATAATGAAATGTCATGTTCTATATATGAATAACTATGAATGTCACCAACCAGTTCTTTGTCATGGTGATTATACACATGAACATTGGTTTGTGGATGAAAGTTTGAATATAATAGGTATTATTGACTTTGGTGATATGCAAGGTGGACCTGTGACAACAGATTTTGCTATTTTTCAAATGAATGAGTCAAAATCAGATGTTAATTCATTGATAAGAGGCTATAATGGCATAAATGATTCTGCAATTAACGAATGTTTCAGTCAAGAATTAGATCTTCATACATTAATTATATCAATTGGCTATTTGATATACTTCATAAAACAAAATAATACAGAAGATATTAAGCAAACTCTTGATTCGCTTAAGAAAGTAATCGATGATTTAAAAAAACAATATCTGTAAAGAATTTTCAAATAGCTCTAACTGTTTTTTTTTGTACTTACGAAGTCCAAAAAGTTCTAAGAACTAGTAACATCCCTCGAATAAGAAGTACATTATATTTATGTGCCTACAGCAAAGGTTAAAAGACATCATAACAATGTTCGATAGAAAATTCGATTTACTTTTGAATAATCTTTTTGTATTCATCGATATGTATCAAACTCATTGCTCGATTATTGCTTAGTTAGATTTATTGGATCTAGGTAGATATTTAATCTATACGTTAAAAAAATCGAATGACAGAAGCTTAGACGAAGCAAGGGCAGTTAAATATATCTGAGAAATTGAATAATAACACTTTTTATACGCGGCTTCCACTACCATGATGATTTGATATCATCGATACCTCAAGATAGTCTTTATTGAAAAATTTCTTAACTAATGCTTTTTGAACATTATTGCGATCATTAGATAGCATTAACAAACTGTATAGAATGCACCAAACGAATAAGTAATGCTCACGTTATCATAAAGGAAATGGCAAACATTGTTTCTTTACATGTTGTCATCTACTTACGACAAGTAAAATGTTTTCTCCTTTTACAGACTAGGATTTCTCTCTTGCCTCTACCTAGTACTACGATACCTAATCTGTCTTTCAATGCCCGTCATTATATCATATCATCGCAGTGTCAGTTTCATAAAATCCGCCAAACTTTCGGTACTGAATCGACGAGTATTACTAACCAATTACCAAGTCATTAGTTTGACACATACCGATGAATACAAAAAGATTATTCAAAAGTAAATAGAACTTCCTATAGAACATTGTTATGATATCTTCTAACCTTTGCTGTAGACAACTAAATATAATGTACTTCTTATTTGAGGGGTGTTACTACTTCTCAAAACTTTTAAAATGCCCTATGTAATTTTAAATTTGTGACGTTTCAACAAACAACATTGTCTTCGTCCAACTCATAGCAATGTGAAATTTATTTCGATTTTTTTTTTCTTTCAGATGTTTAATATATGATAGTGAGATAAAGGAAGAAGATAAATATTCCATCTCTTCTACCAGTATCACCATCTTGACGTTCCACTATCATATGTCAAACATCTTAAAGAAAAAAGAAAAATCAAAATAAATTTCACATTCCTATGAGTCTAATGAAGACACTGATATCGTTTGTTGAAACGGCACAAATTTAAAATTAATTTAAAGTTTAATAGTTTATTATTATTTTATTTAAATTAAATATAATTCAATTAATTAACTTAGTTTTTAATCTTGGGTGGGTGTGGGTGCGGCTCGTGATTCTACCCTTGTGCACATTCTACACCCACCCCATATATGAAGGATGGTTTGGTATTTTGCGGATTCTCTTCTGAATGGCTGATGCACGAAATCATCTGATTGTTTATCGTAAAAAAACTTCGTATCAATATACAGGGTAGCCCAAAAGTCACGTTATCGAGAAAAAGTTGAGTATCTCCATTATGACTTGACCAAACGGGCTCATTTTTTTACCAAGGATAGAGGCATGTTCACACTCAAAATCCATACGGATAAGATTAGTGAGAACTTTTGTTCAGTATCACTATTGAGCTCGATAAGAAAATTTTACTTTTTCACAGGTAGGAAAAAACTAGTATATAGGACGATGCAAAAGTTACTTTATCGTGAAGAAAATTGAATATCGCTATTACGTCTCGACAAAACGGACTCATTTTTTACCAAGGATAGAGGCATGTTCACACTCCAAATCCATATGGATAAGGTTAGTGAGTACCTTTGTTATGTGTATTATTTTCTTTTCCTATCTATGAAAAAGTAAAATTTTCTTGTTGAGGTCAATAGTGATACTTGACAAAGGTTCTCACTAACCTTATCCGTATGGATTTCGAGTGTGAACATGCCTCTATCCTTGGTAAAAAAATGAGTTCGGTTTGTCGAGCCGTGATGAAGATACTCAATTTTTTCTCGGTAACGTGACATTTGGGCCACCCTGTATTATAAATATTCACAAAAAGTATCGTAAAAAAAGGCTGTTCGAAATACGTAATCGAAAAACTGTATTCCCAACTTCGTAAGTGGATCGATGTATCGAAAAAAACAACTCAATAAAAGTATGAGTCATACAATGTAATTGCACCATACTTGGAAAAAACAGAATCAACAGTATACTAAACAAAGTTGCACGTGTAAAAATATGATGCAGAAAAGATAATTTTGAAGACTCGGAAATTTGTGATGTAATGTTTAATTTTACATAGTATTGGAGTTTTCCAAGAAATGTATTACAATATAAAATAGGTGCGACATATTAAGGCTTTTATAACATACATTCCTACAAAAATTATTCTGAAAGTTAATAAAAGTAGGTAAAAGATTCTACATAATATATTTTTTGATGATAAACCCGATTTTTCATTTTGTGAAGAACAAATTAACCGCTCATAATTAGAAACATTATAAATATCTTAAGTGATAAAGAATGAGTAAATTTTCATCGATACGAATAAAAATCTATCTATTAACATGAGATTACATTGTAATCAACACTATTCTAATAAAGAGTTAGTTATTTTAATAGAGTTAATATGGAAAAAAAAGTTTTTCATAATCGAATCCGAATTCAATATTTTAAAAGTAGGTCGAATCGAATCGACTTAATCGCGTATCAATTGAAAAAAAAGAAACGATTCAAAACGGAAGAAGTTGAAATATATATAGTATCATAATTTGATAAGTGTGAACAAAATACAGATCTTATTATTCAATACGGATATCCATTAAGTAGCAGTGAAACGTTATGAAACAAAAAATAAACTAAAGGTTCAAACTTTCACAAGTGTAAATTTGTAATTGAATCAAATAAGGTATATAGATACAAAAAAAAGAATAATTATTATTTTGGGAGTTCTAATCAAGTGCGTCTAATTCTGATTCAGGACATTTTTGATAGCTGTGCGTTTCAAAATCTTATAACCATTTTTTACTATGATAAGTTATATAGCAAACAGAAATTTTTAACGATATAATTACCTTCAGGTTGCATTGTGACTTATGCCTATTACTTATTTTATATTTGAGTAACTTATCCTTTCAAACAAAGTTTTTTTTATTGAAATTTTCGTTTCGATCGGTTTTTTTTGTTGCTTGTTAAATTTTGAAAGATGAATTTAGTTTATGAAAAGCACCAATGAAACTTTTGTTCTCCAGTTCATTAATATCAAACTTTGATGAGTAATTTTATTCTATAGAAGTTACTTCCTAGCATACTTTTTGTTTTAAAAAAAGTAAAATGATCCATCAATATGTATGAATAGATCTAATATAGAATAGGAAACAAAAAAATAAAAAATAAATCGCTTGCTTCGAAAACAATATCAGAGCGTAAGTAGTAGAGTCAAACTGAATTCGAATAAAGATTTTCTTATTCATTTCGGTCTCTATTTCAAAAATACATACATCCTTTCGCTTGAGCATAGTGATGGGGCACCGTATCTATAAGTATCTTGTATGTTTCTGGATTAAATTCGGTCCACACTTGTTTGATCATATGAACAGCTACTCACCATGTTTTGAACGAAATTTATTTTTGATGAAAGTTTTTAGGACATCACCAATAACATCAATATAAACAGACCCATTCTACATAGGAGACTAGAGGTCACTCCTCACATTTGCCACCACCCTTCTGTATAGATGAAACGAAACTGAATATTTTTTTCACTTATATAAAGCAGTTCGTCGCAATAGTGTTGGATTCTTTTTTCAAAACGACAAGCATTTTACAGTTTACTTTGTATACCCAGTCTTAGGAGTTGATACGTGAAAGCAGTACTAACCTGAAGCATTTTTCAATATTCTTTTGATTGTTTGAGTTACATTAAAAACATACCAGGAAGATACTTCGACCTGTTTTGATCATCTCTCAAGAAAACTGCCACTTGAACGTTCGGTTTTGTTAATAATCAAGTACATCCCATTCAAAAAAGATAGACAATCGTACGATTAATGAGAAGAATTGCAATAAAAACCTAGATCTAAAATGAATTAATGGCAAATACGATAGATTCAGAGAGAAAAACGCGTGAAAATTGACCAAAATGTAAAACAAAAATCTAGATAATGTTATAATTTTGTACAGTATTATAGATCATGTCTAGTGAATATCACACGTTACACTTTATCAAAGATTGAGTGTAGAAAAGATGACTTTCTTACTATATTCCACTCAGGCAAAAACAAACATAGGCAGACATTAGATCTTGTAAGATCAGATGCCATTGTAAGATACCACGATAAAATTATAGGAGATTTTATATAATTTGAATGATCTAATCAAAAAGTCAATTTCATTTAATTTCTAGTTCATTGAAGTAAATTGTTGAGATTGAATCCTTAAAAGTTGATCGATTTTTTTCGTTTTGACAATCATAAATAACACTGAATCAAACCTTGTTTATGTGTGTATTGTATTTTTTTAGTACATATATCAATTCGTTTTATTGGTAAAGATGAGTAGTGAAAATGGTTATTATTGTATCTGGCTTGATAGTCATATCGGAGCTCCTGGAGAATGTCCATCTTTCCAAGATAAATTTCAACAGAGTCTTAAACCGATGAATGGTTTGCCACCAAATTCTATTAATAATCTTATATTATGCTTCGAGCAAGAAGTCGCTCCAATCAAGTTTGTTTCGGATATAGACGATGCTTTAGTTTTAGTTCAAAATGAAATTGATAAAAAAATCATTTTTATCTCCTCAGGATCATTAGGCAAACAAATAATTCCTTTTATTATTAAAACTCATCCACATGTTTATACTTTCTACATTTTCTGCGCTCAGGTTTCTAATAACCTCAGTTGGGCTATAGACTATACAAATTGTTTGCAAATGTTTGATCATGAAACGGATCTGCTTATTCGTCTTGTTCGTGATATTTCAAAAGAATTTATCCATTTGGGACTTTCATATCTAGCAGTATATGATGGTGAAAGTGCTAGAAAATATTTTACAACTGCTCAAACACTTGAAACTCATGCCAATAATGCAAATAGTCCGATGCCTCCATTCACAGATCGTCTCAAAATGCTTCAAGGTCCGAATGGTCTTATTCAAGAATCACAAAATGTAAAAGAAGATCAAAGAACAAATGAGACAATAGGTAAGTTGTCAAACACATTATCTCGTAAATTAATTATCCACAAAGTTTTAAAAGGCTAAATGTTTTGATCCTCAAAAATAACTAAGTGTGCAATTTCCGCTAAAATACAGTCTTCCTTTCCGAGTCAGAATTTTTTTTTTCGATTTTCGATTTCTGATTGCTATAAACACTCCTGAATTTATTCTATCGATCTGTACTAAAGGCATTTTTTTACTTTATCTACAGTTTTGAAAACACCTTCACTGTATATGCTATAATCTTGAGCCTATAGCAGACTTTGATGCTAAGAGACTGGCTGAATAATTTCAGAAAAAAATCGAAATTGAATTTTGTTTTGGGTTTTTCTTAAAATTCATTTTTCACTAGAACGCACAACATTTCCTTCAGGTTCTTCGATATGTTACATTCACTGTAAATGACAAAAAATACATCTTGGACAATCTTTGGTCAATTTACGAACTTATCCTAGTCGAAAAATAAGCGTTTTTTTATGGTACATATCTTATTTTGATCTTTTCGTTTGAAAACAACAGAAAAAAAGAAACACTCCCTCCCTCTCACAAGTACACAACTTTTTATTTACTAATCAAGATCTATTTACGGCGAAATTTTTTCAAATTTTCTGATGTGAACCACTCTTCAAAAGTTCCAAAAAGAGAGACGATGAAGTATAGTAAGAATTAATTTGAAGACCTAAGTTTTAATCGAATTTTATACTTCAACATTTACTGAGTAAGATATTAGAACCTATTAATAATTATTATTTGATGTTATATCTATGCAGCTAGTCTCGACAATATTCAATATGTTCTTATTAATCTCACGACAGCTATGAACCCGACCGTCGCGAGTATCGTACATTTTCTTCAAATATTTCTTCCACCAAGGACAATATTAACAATCAAAAATTCATCAAGTGATAATATTATTCGGCTTATTAATAAGCCTGCATGTTTATTTTTAAGAAACAGTGTTTTAACTCAACTATTAATACAACGGGTGGGTACAAACAATCTATCGATTTATATGATTGAAGATAATACTAATCTAGTCGATAGAATCACACATTTTAATAATATCGATGATCTCATCAATAAACTGGTTGAGCTAATTGTTGAAAAATATCGACAACAAGCTGCAACGCATTTACATGTAGGACAAAATCAACTAGCGGATATTGAAATGAAAATGGCTAATCGGATAGACTATGAAGTGAAGAAATTACGTGAAACATAAAATACAAAAGTATTCTAGTAATCTCGAGTGAGATTCCAGAAGCGGTCATCCATCTATTTTGTCTATTTTGAACATTTTTTAACCGTGATCTGGCATATCAATTTTTAATTTTTACGTATTTTTTGCTTTGTTGATTTTATATATTTTTTGAATTGCTTGTGGATTTTTATTCTTCAATATTTTAAGTTTCTACATAAAAAATGATATACCTTTGATTTCTCGACGCTCAACTGATTTAAAATCTCGAAATCAAAATGATCCATAATAACTTCGTTTGGATTTTCAGTCAGTCAAAAGCCAACAAATGCTATTTAATTCAAACAATTTAATGATACATATCATGATATTTTGTACTATATTATTTATTAATTTCAAGATGAATTATAATTGATGGTAATTAACTAGATCTATTCTTGAATACTTAAGTAGCTTAGATAGTAGAGCAGCCGCCAGAATAGCGTGAAAGTCTGTGGTTTAATTCCACATTCAGGTATATCTTTCACTGCATTTCGTCATGAATGAGTTACTTGGAGGAAGATGATATACAGCGAAGGACATTTGCCCGCAAACTATGATATCAACCATTCAGATATCTATGTAAATATGTAGGTCGTGTGAAATAGAGAATAACCTTAAGCGAAGGAGAAATGAAAAAACGTTATCAATCTCGCTGAGTCTCTCTTTTTGAAGATATGAAACTGAGATATATATATAAGTTGTCATATCACGCACTTTCGGCATTCTAGGTTTTTTTAAAAGAGCACTGTATTTATTACTGGAATCATGTAAGTTTCAAAGTAACTTTGAAAAACATATCTGTAAAAACTGCATTTGAGAAAGATAGATTCAAATAGTAAGTAAATAAAAATTTGCTTTGCTATGGAATTGTGACTTTTTATTACGATTACTCTTACTCTGAGTGAAGAGCATAGATAGTGTAAAATGACTGTAGAAGCTGGGCATCATGTCAGATATTTTGAAATGAACTATTAGACATGAATAATGGAGACAAAAATACGTTGGGTAGAAAATGTTTAGAGATTTTGCACGTGATCCGAAAGAGTCACCTGTTTTCGTTCATACGATTTATGCTGTCGATATCGGGCACATCTCAATAGATTTTTCCTAATATTTAGAGTTATTGGTTATTGATAAGTAACCAGCATTGTTGCAAAACAACTGCAATAAGCATTCGAAAATAGCATCATCAATTAGAATTATGATCATAAAAATATACCAGGTTGATGCCTTTACCGATCAATTGTTTGGCGACAATCCAGCCGCGATATGTGCATTAGACAAATGGTTACCCGATTCATTAATGCAAAAAATTGCTGCTGAAAACAATATTTCTGAAACCGCTTTCTTTGTACCGAATTCCAGCAATGACGAATATGAAATTCGCTGGTTTACGTCCGAGGTCGAAGTAGACCTATGCGGTCATGCGACATTGGCGACAGCGCATATTATTGTCACTGAAATGTCTTCTACAAAAGAGGAAATTCACTTTCAGACCAAAAAAGCTGGTAAACTTACAGTTACCCGCCAAAAGGAGAATGGCTTATATACCCTCAATTTTCCAATCCGTCCAGCAAACAAAGCCGATTTGCCTGATGCAATGTTGTCGGCGTTACGCAGCGAAATAGCACCCATCGGCGTTTACAAAGCGAGAGACTTTTTGCTCGTCTATGAAAACGAGGCCGACATCAAACAATTGTCGCCGGATTTTATGGCATTAGGCAAAATTGATATTGATTTTGGTGTGATTGTTACAGCTCCTGGTAATGAAGTTGATTTTGTTTCACGATTCTTTGCTCCAGGCGTCGGCATTCCTGAAGATTCCGCTTGTGGTTCAGCACATTGCACTCTAATTCCTTACTGGGCTGACCGATTGGGTAAAAACCAACTGCACGCTTACCAAATTTCGGCGCGTAAAGGAGAATTCTGGTGCGAAATCAAAGGTGATAGAGTGCTGATGTCAGGCAAAGCCGTTACCTATTTAAAAGGGGAAATAAATATTTGAGTTGGCATGCACACATGATAGACCAATCTATTTGGGTGTGGACGAATGGAGGTGGAAGTAGTTGTTGGTGTAGGCATAAAACCTCTCCATCCGCTTGCCACATCCAACATCTACACACCGACATTCATATTCATAGTCAGATGAAGCCATGTGAAACAGCTAGAGACTCTCACTTGAATCGGTAATCGAATTCTGATTTCTTCACTTTTACGAAACCCCTGGTCTACACATTCTGGAACCAATTTTCATATCTGGTTGATCGACGAATAAGTCGTATGAGTATCTCTATCATAAAAAAGTAACATAAGTAGCAGAAGCATAAGTCAGCTCTGATAGCATAGAGTTGGAAGGAAGACGTCAAGAAGCAGGTGGCTGGTGTGGATGTGGGTTTTTCAGTGGGTTTTTTTATCTTACCGACTGGGATCGACGGAGATGAATATCATGAGATCTCTGGTTACGTGTTTGCCGAGTCTAGTAGCGTGATCAATGTGTTGGGCATGTACTGAGTATTGTGAGAGATGTTTGCGTCGCATAGTCATGGATTGCATAAAAAATAGATAAAAGCGCCCTTTGTATTATTTCCAATTGGTTTGTGCCTATTCTCTATGCTATGGTGTAAAAGAAACGGTAAATATGCACTTTCGTCTACCTTAATGGGAGACACATGTATTGTATTAAGTTACATTGCACGGATACAATTATTTATTCAAGGAATCAATGATCTGGTATGAGACAAAAAGTCAGGACTGATGTTTATGCGATATGTTGCAATATTTTTCCGCACAGTCATAGTTGATACTTAAAGCTAAGAGTGTAAAAATTCCGAAAAACACTTGGATTGTGAGATAATGCCAGTATGCTGTGTGTCGAAAACATTCGTCAAAAGAAAGACGGCGAAGGAATATCAAATCTGGCTTAACTGTTGTAGACTTTTACTCTCCGCTCTAGTGTCTCTTCTCATCTGGGTGTCGGTGTGGGTGTGGGTGTGGGGTGTAGGTATGGGTGTGGATGCGGGTCGGTGTCGGTGTGAGTATCGGTATGGGGTGTGGGTTGTAGGTATGGGTGTGGATGCGGGTCGGTGTGGGTGTGAGTATCGGTGTGGGGTGTGGGTGGACGTGGGTGTGGCTGGGTGTGATTGTTATTGTAATTCTGACCCACACCCACACCTGCACCCACCCCACACTCACACCCACCTACATCCACACTCATATGTGTATTACCAGATCTGGTTGTTGTCAAACGAGTAACAATTGTTTGATTTTCAATTGATGGAAGTGGTGATGGAGTTAAAATGCTTTTTGTTGAATGGACCTATGAAAAAAATAGCAATATCTTCTAAATTCAAAATATATTACACTGACTGCATTGTTTGTGAAATCAAGATCTTTTGTTTTGTTCGCTTTCATTTGATGCCATGATAGTATGAAAAAAATTAGTTGCTACTTGATTAGGATTTTGACTGTTTTGAATATCACATATCAGCATAAATGGAATATTATGTGAAACTGCTACCAATGCAGCATCAATACCTTCTTCAATTTCTTTCATACATTCTGTAAGTACACGTTCAAATTTCATTGATGATTTGGTACCAAATCTTTTTTTAAAATCTATTCGATCACCATGTAAATCTTTATTAATGTGATCAACACTAATACGGTGCATGTGTGCAACTAAATCAGTTGGTAATGATTCACCGAATTCGTCCCAAGCATCAAGTACCGCTGCAGCTCTATTTTGAATTCGTTGATGATGACAATGATGTAAATTGACCATTATGAATGGCATCATTAACAGCACAAATATTAATAGGACTCATTGTAACCTGTATATAGAGTATCTAAATTTTATAGAAATTCGTAATTATTGCAAATGAAAACGAGATTCTAAAGTTTGATGAAAAACAATTAACGAAATAACGTAAGCTGAACAAGTCGTGTAATGCACCTGTCACTAGAGTTTTGAAATAGGAATCTCAAATAGAGTATACTTAGGTACCTATTTTCCAATCAAAAAGTACCTTTTAATGCTTTGTTTTCGATAACAAAGTATGTCAGCGTGTCTCAACGAATAAGCGATGCAAGAAAAACATAATGATTACTATTGATATGTTTCAATGAAAAATGCGTTCAGGTGAAGGAAACAAAATATTAAAGAACAAACACAGATTAACACAAAAAGAAGACTCCGATTGTCGCTCCCATGCAGCTAAATAACAATCAATTTTCTTTTTTGTACTACTGAGGATGATTCAATTGTCGACACTGCTGCTGTATGAATTATTCATTTATTGTGATCATCAGTTACTATCATTGATGATAAATTTACCTCAGTCTTATGATATGAATAAAAATTTCCTGTTTCATCATTATCAATAACAATTATTTGTTTTCCTTGACTTAAAAGTTCGACATTGTTATTAGGTGAAATAAACGGATCATTTCATTCATTATTATTTTTCGAATTTTAGATTCACAATAAGGCAAAACTAATGATATTCTATATTTCCACCAAATATCTTATAGTAGATTGAAAAACTGATTAGAACGTAATAAATATGTGTTGCTTGAGAAGTAGGTATGTGCAATAAACACGAATAAATAATGAACGTATAAATGAGCAACAAAGTTCGAAATCTAAACGAGGGGAAGAAGTTTCAACCTTCTTCATGAATTTAGCAAAACCAAAACCATATGCTTCCGAGCTCCATCGAAAAATAGAATACACAAACAGCGAAAAGATGATTAAATCCTAAATCGTGGCGTCACAAACAAGAAAAGTATTTTTTTACTTTATTTTATAAATTTTCATCTTAGTGCTATGTGTCCAAGGGGGAAACAACTGAAACCAGATTTTTTTGATTTTAAATCAATGATTTAAAATCAAAAAAATTAGAAAAATCGAAACAATCACAGAAATTAAAAAATCTGACTTCAGGTTTTTTATCTTTAATTGATGTTTTTAAACAAAAGCGCTTAAAGATTTCTTGATTTTTTTTGATTCAAAATTGATTAAAAATAAAAAAATCAGCTGTTTCCCCTTGTATATGTCTCACAATCAGGGACAGAACACAGAATTTTTTCAAAATCGAAGCACCATCAGTACGTTCCGTTTGCTTAGAGTATTTAGTATTACACATATTGGTCTGATAGGCTGTCAATGACAGTCAAGAAAAAGATGAACGAATTATAGTAAAACGTGGACTCGAATTTCATTGTCCAGGTCGAACAAGCACGATCATATACGGAGAAATACGACCAAATCCATGGCTCAGTATTACGATCGTAAATCTTTGTGTCGTATATGCAGTCCGTATACGATGATCGTTTTACTTCGTATTTCTTCGTAAACGATCATATGACAGCGTATACAGTCACTTACAGTCATATATGAAGCCCGTAATCGTCGACCTGGGTGGTTCATTCGTTCCATATGAAGTGAGCCACATTTCTTGGGCTGACATCTTTAGTTCACTTTTTACCACCCGACAAGTTTGAGATGATAGCTAATGTCACCTATAACCTATAAGTCCTTGTAGATCTAACAGTTTAATATAAACAAAACACTTTTTTCTCTACTGAAAAATAGGTGGAACAAATATGTCCCATCGTCCTCAAAAGGTTAACAAATTGCAGTGATTTTTCTTATAATAAAAATCTTCATTTAACAACAAACTTGCGTCCTCTACAAATTACAACAACTCCACTAAATTCAAAAACTTTCTGTAATCAAAAAGTTACATCCTCTACAAACTGCAGTAACTTTTGTTAAAATAAAATAAGTTTTCGTTAAAATTTTTTAAAACGATTTATTTTCTATATGCGCTCTCATTGGTCAAATCTTTAAAAACTAACTATTACATTTAATCATTTTATAGTACTCTGGATATAAGACAATGGGAGAAATGGTAATCAATGTCGAATGCACTACGTGTGGCGACACCTGAAATGAAACTCTTTTTTAAAAGCTGATATTTACAGCATGTGAAGTATATCACTGATAAAGATTATTTATGATGTTAAATTCTTCTGGCCTACTATAATCATGGAACTAAACTAAAATCAAGGAGTAGATTTAACGGCATCTTTTATTTATATTTGTTATCAAACAAAATTTGTTGTATTATCATCAAATTGTGCGTGTAGTGTAGTGCCATAATTTGTGTGGGACTTAGCTATCGCGAAAATAAAACATGTTGGTGAGTGTACCTTCTGTTTTTATACATTTTTATCAAATTTTTTTTTCTGATCTTTCTATCCGAACTAAGTGCATATGTGTGATAATAGACTATTATACAAAACTAATAAAATTATTAACTTTAAATCAACCGAAAATGTGAAACATATTAATTTACTTAAATTTGATTTTCTTCATATTCACAATTGAGATGTAGCCGCCATTCGCATCACTTTTCTGCTGTATACGTCAAAATATATGTTGGATTTTTCCTTGTATGATTAAGACTCTCTTCCTTTCTCTTACAACTATCGGCAGTCACACATTTATTTGCATGGCTTCGTCGACAACAACTGCAACGCACTATTGTGTGCTGTGTAAAGATAAGAAGACTAGAAGCGTTTTCACTTGTATTGGATGTTCTCAAGGATTTTGCATGGAACATATGAATGAACATAAACAAGTACTTGCGCAACAACTAGATGAACTTATTCTTGATCATGATCAACTACAAGAATCAAGTGAATCTTGTCATTATTCGCCAATAACAAAAATTGATGAATGGGAACGGGAATCTATTGTGAAGATTCATGAAATAGCGGATAATCTTCGACAAGAACTAAGAATAAAATTTGAAAAATATACAAATCAATTTTCACAACGATTAAAACAATTATCGGAAGAATTAAAAAAAATTCGAAATGACAATGACTTTATGGAGAGCGATTTACAACAGTTATCGAATAAATTTAACAAACTCAAATTATATCTAGCGTGCTCACCGACAATTCATTTTCAAGATGATATCTTAATTTCTAAAATTTCTATTTCTGAAATACCAGATGATATTTTTGACATGTTTGCTGGTGATTTAAAAATCAAAGATAATGGTCAAGTTGTTGAACATGGTCCATCAGTTTGTCATGCAAGTATTCGAGGAAATGGCGAATATAGTTCAGGTCAACATCGATTTCAATTCAAAATTGAATCTTACAATGTGAATAAATGGATCTTCTTCGGTATTATCTCACCTACAGTAAAAATGCAATCGAATACTTGGGCAATACCATCATGCTATGGATGGGGAGGACAAGACTGTACTATTCTCAATTGTGCGATGCACTCAGGTCTCAATGGGTATTCATGTGATTTTCAACTGAATGATATTATAGAATTATTACTGGATTGTGATAATCGAATAATTCGTCTGACAAATCAACGTACACAACGTACACATATGATGAATGTTGATCTTGTGAAATGCCCTTTTCCTTGGCATTTTTATCTTAACCTATTCTATCCAAACGATCGAGTACGCATTTTATATACAGATAATAGATAGATTTTACACTTGAATAATATTCTCAGACCAAACTAAATTCGATATAATAGTTGCTTGAATATATGACATAATATCATCTTATGCTTACTGCTTTTGTGAGCATAATTGTGTATTCATTAGTCGATGTTCTCAGATAACGGTTGTTCAATTATCCGACCCTGATAAATAAAGGTGTTAGTAAAGTACATATAAACTGAAAGATCTTGTTTTTCTGCAAGAAAAGTATTTAAATTTTCTGTTAGGGATGAAATATTAAAGTCTTCCTGGCTGTGGGAGAAGTCGTTTTTAGAAGTGCTGTAGTCGGAAATGTGGCAGCAACCACTCGGGCTTTAAAATCAGGACGACGGACTATGTCTTCGCGAGATATGGAAATGCATTTCTTAAACAGATATTGAATGATGGTCGAAAAATTGAAAGACTTTGCAGTGACTGCATCGATAAATGAGGAATCCAGATCGGATTTTTAAGAAGCAGTTCGTGAAAATATTCAATGATGCAGAAATCTGGTATATTTTTGATTTTGAATTTACTCCAATAGAATGACATGCCACTTTATACATTACTGAAATATCCAAAAAGTTAGAGTCTGAAAATTTATTCTTGATCGTAAAGAGATAATTGATTGATCTCACTCTAATTGTCATCCCAAAAACTCACGAAAAGTGAAGAATTATGTATTTTGATTACTACTTCATTATTACGTCATTTTAGAAAACTTATCAGATAGCAAACGATAGAGCTCGGTTTGCTCTACAAAACTATGTATTTGGTTTTTTTTCTAAGACCTCAGAATCAACTAAGAAAATGAAAATACTTTGATTCGAATACTGTATATCATCCTTAATTTTCCCAGTCTTTTAGAGCCAAATGTTAAGGTCAGTTTGAGTATCCGAAACATAAATAGCATACAAATGTAGTCCGCTGAATTCTACATCGAATGTAGGTGTAGATGTTTCAATTAACGATTAGATTCTGCTCATTTTAACAGATTTCAGAGTTATTCACCCGTTTTGATACGATGCACCATGCTGCAACACTTTCAAAAGAAAACGTCGGTATAGCGCACCTTATACCAACCTGTATACCAGCAGTTGTTTCTCGGTAGTTATTACATAGGATAGCAGGTTTCATACTAGCTACAACTTAGATTCAGACCTCAAAATCGATTTTGTCGTCTGGCTGTTCATTGTGGATTGGTTCGTACTATTTTTTTTGGAACCGAACCGATCTCGCTTCTAGTAACGAGGAGGATGATGACCAAGAGAGGATCCTCACGTATACCCTATGCAAAAAAATAAGTGTGTATAACCAAATAAACAAAATTATGACATTTGACTTCTTCACGATAGATCCGTTTAATTATTCAGAGAAAAATTCTCTAAATAGGCACCAATCGATCAAATTAAACTATTTAGTTTCTATATAAAGCATCATGTTTTAAGTTTATTAGAAAAAGTATTTAACAAGCACGGAAAATGTCTTTTATATTTTTTAGTCTTTTCTTTTTTTATATACAAGAAGCTTGTTTTGTACAAAAAAATGGAATTGAATTACGATGAGTAAGTGTTTTGTTTAATACCGATTGAAAAAAAAACACAGCGAAAGGCACACATTTGGACAAGAAAATATATACGTCAGTGAGATTTGGATAGAGAAACACAAAAAATAAAAACTATTCTTTTAAGATTTAATCTCAGTGTCAATTCGACGAGATTCATTTTCTTTTTCTTCATCATTATAATTTTTATCAATACGTTTTGATATTAGTTGATAGTATTGCAATGCATTATTGCATTCATCATATGGAAATCGCATATGAAATGCAGAAATAACTGAATTATGTTCATCTTCATTAACCGTCTTTGTTTCAGTTAATTTTGTCTATTTAATAAAAATAAATAGAAATTCAATCGAATAAATATTCTAAAAATGAAATTACTTCAATAAAATTTGCAATAAGATCAAGTGACATTTCAGTTTGAAGTATTGCTCGTGTTGTATCACAATCATATGAACAAGATATTAATGTTGGAAAAAGTATATCCATATATTTTGATTCAACAAAATATCGAAATGGTAAACATGATAATTGTTGAAGTACAGTTGGTCGATTACCAAATGCCATGCGACACTAAAACAAGAAAAAAAAAGAATATTTAATTTTTTTTTATGTTAAAAATTATCTATTAAAAAAATTTAATCTACTTGATTATCTTGATTTAATACACAATAATAACCAATAAGAAGAATAATTTCATGTAAAAGATTATCATTATTTGTTATTTGTTTATGATTACAATAAGCAAGAATATAATTAGCTACATGTCGAAGTTGTAGAGAAATTGTTTCTTCACCGAGAATAGTCTAAAAATGAACTATATGATGTCTTTTCTTCAAACTATGAATATGAGTAATTCTCCTTGTTTAGATTTCTGAGCAAGAAAAAAAATAAAGAAATCAGAACATAAAAAGATGGCGTGGTTCAAATGGAAGAATAATCTAATGAAGAAAGTCTCGTAAACTGATTTATCACTTTTGAGTTGAGACCATATGTATCATGTGAACCCTAATGGACTATGAGTACTCAGATAGAGAGTTAGGTCTTTGGCTTATTACTACGGTGATTCTCTTCCTCAGAAATACCACAAAAATTGATTTTCAAATATCTTTGTTGTTACCATCTTAAGATATGCCTATGATAAAAACATGTCGTTTACATCACTCACATATACGAGTAGATTCGAAGTTCTTATTTCAGAATCGGAACAAGTCAAAAGAATTGAAAATTTCGTAAGAAACTATTCTTATCAAGGTCTCTCTTTGTGTAAAGTTTAAAGTCGAAATTCGGAAATCAATTTTCCTGATATTCTTGAGAAAAACCGGTGCATTAGATTAAAATATACTGCAAAAAATCAGATTAAGGTAATGTATGTTTTTCAAAACGATAGAATATTGTGATCTTGATTTTTACATACAGAATTCAAATTTATTAATTATTCGATTATCTTGTGTTCAAAAACATTTTTTCTATTCAATTTAAAATAGTTTCCTGAAAAAAAAAAGTACAATTATCAATGAACATAGAAATAATATCAAATTAGACTCTATCAAAAGTGATGACGATAACACTAATGCCGTACATAAAACTCAAGGATATTTTCTCTCTATATATACTAATAGCAGAAAATTTATTCAAACGATATTATAATCATAAGTATAAGGATTATCATCAATAAAGCAATGAACTTGTTCAATATTTTTAGATGTTGTTTTTAGTTATATGTCTGTCAAGTTGTGCTTCGTATTCAAACCCTTCTTAATTTGTACGAAAACATTTCGATCATCGTTCAATTATCTTGAGAGATAGAGTTTGATTATTGAAAATAGAATATAGTTCATTGTGAATAACTTTTGACTTGAATATGAAATACAGTGCACATTTTAAAGTAGAAGCAAACATTTTATTACTATGATATCAATTGAAGAAATGTAAGAACACGATTTATACGATTAGAATATATTGACAGAAAACTTTCTCATGTTTTCTATTCTGTTTTCAAAAGGCACTGTTACTTCTTCTGATATCTTCTTATTACAAATTCGCGTCTCTGAAACTACCTTCACAAGATTGGAAAGAGTATTAAAGTGAATTTCGAGCAAGAATATGTATCTATGACTAAAGCATCCTGATCGTACTGTGCTTACTTCCCACTCTGTTATTCTTTTTGATCATTTCTGGTTCTCGAACAGAATACATCAGATCAGACTCAAATTTTTATCACAGACAGAGCATCGGAAAAAAGAGGTATATGTCAGAGAAAAGAAATTTAGAAGAACGTTTTCGTGCTTTTTTCGAGAAAATACTGCTTTTCAATAGGATCGTATTTAATATTATATCTCAGAGATCATTGCGAACTTTTTTGAAAAGCTGGTTTCCTTTTTTTTCATAAGCGAAATATGTACAGGCTTGTAGCCAAAACAAGGTTGTTGACCTATAGAGGCCTATAAATCCGGATAGGAATGCCACAAACGAAAGCAGTCGATTTAACTTCTGACGAATACTCTCAATTTCCGGATGATAAAAATCTCTGCTCGATCAAATAAAGTTAGAAAGGGATCGTAGTATAACAGGAGACAGTCCTAAGGAAAATCAGAATTTTCTGGAAAAAAAAACCTGCAAAAACTTTACTCGACTAAGTGTCTTCTTATTTCAGATGCTCTATCTATGGTGAAAATTTCAGTCCATTGATGGATGTATAATCATCTTTGAAAATCAAAAGAGAAGATGGGACTTCCTCGAAGGAGACGGTCGCTTTCGGAGAACAGCTCATCAGAAAGTTTTGAAACTTCCAGAGCAAGCAGATAGATCTCGATTAGTAGCGAAAAAATTGTCATAGACTCAAAATTGTCAGATGCTTGTTTTTAGATGATACCAAGGTCGCAAAAGCTAAAATGTTTTTGGTTTCTTCTTATCTTCTTCCATTCGAATAAAAATATCAAAATGCTGAGCATACTCTCAAAAATGCATGAAATTTTTTTGTAAACTTTGGTAAAAGCCAGCGGTACATCAAATTTTGAAACAAAAAAAAACCTACGTACCCTAAACACTTTCTCGTATAACTCGAATTAAGTTTCAGCTCAATTCTCAACTGTTTCGGTCAAAAAAAAAACTCATTTTTCAAAACCGTTCCATCTTTTCGACCTTTATAGTTATATATTAATTCTTGAAATATGTCCTGTACATAGAGAATACTTCGAAGTGTATATAGATCAGAAAAAAAAGAACGCAAAAATAAAAAATCTAAAAATTTTTAGTTATGAAAACGGAGTGCTTCCTAAAGATCAATTGAATTAATAGATCATGCATCTTGAATTTACTCACTTGAAATACATCAAGATCTAATGTAGCTATTGTATTTAATAATATCATTGAATTAATTACAATAGTAATTGTTTTTTCATGTAAAGTGATCGTATTATTATTATTATTATTAATATTA